ATGTTATCCTCATTATCCTTCTGTAGAACAACATTTCTATTGCTTCGAGTCTCTTCTTCATCTTTGAGAAGATTGTCCAGCATTCACTGCCATACAGGAGGACAGATATCACGAAACAGTTCAGTAATCTGTTCTTTGTTTCTACCGAAGTTTTTCTGTCTCTTAATACTCTGCTTAGCTTTTGGAAAGCACCTTTGGCTGGAATATCTAGACCTCATATACACTTTTATTTCTTTAAATTTAACTTTCTTTTACATCAAATCGTGACCCATCTAATGCTAAAATAAAATCAACAGGCCAAAATCAAATTCTGGTCAACGACTTTGAGCTTACACTGCAATGAGACTCTTGATAAAGTGATGAATTCGTATTCCCTTCTTCGATTAGGAATGAAATAACAGGGTAGAGTAAGCTCACTAGACTTGATTTTCTACCAGTCTAGAAGAAAATTATGAATTCAAACCCGTGAAGCAAGCAAACGGAAAATCTTCCTCTGCATATCTTCGTCCTGGGTAAGATGATAAACTACGTCCAGCAGCAAGGCCTCTGATCAGGAGGTTTTGAGGAGCGTGGAACCACCTCTTAATTGCTGGTGTTCCCAGGTCCACCCTGACACGGGGTGGTAGCACCTGTTAGGGTCCCAGCTATAGGCAAATAGTTAACTATTACCAGCAATACTTTTTTTGGAAAAAAAATCATTACCAGCAATACAATTTAGAAGGAAATATATTACGAGAAACAGATTTTTGACAAAACAAAATATTACCAGCAAAAAAAAAAAAATTGTTGGCATTAAATAACCCATTGAGGTTGATATGACGTAAAACAGAATAAACCAAACCAATCTAAACCAAAGAATACATATTCTATTCATACGAATCTATCCTAAAAATGTTGTCGGCATTAAATAAACCATTGAGGTTCATATGCCGTAAAGCAAAATAAACCAAACTAATCTAAACGAAAGAATGCATATTCTATTCATACGAATCCATCCTTAAAATGTTGCCGGTATTAAATAACCCATTGAGGTTGATATGCCGTAAAACAAAATAAACCAAACCAATCTAAACCAAAGAATACATATTCTATTCATACGAATCTATCCTAAAAATTTTGTCGGCAATAAATAAACCATTGAGGTTGATATGATGTAAAACAAAATAAACCAAACCAATCTAAACCAAAGAATACATATTCTATTCATACGAATCCATCCTTAAAATGTTGCCGGTATTAAATAACCCATTGAGGTCGATATACCGTAAAACATCCCAACTGCGTATCTTTAGAAAAGTCATGACAATTTACAGATGTTTAACTAATAGAAGCAATAGAGAGTAATGATTGCCTGTGTCCCGAAGAAAATATGTGTAGAAAAAATAACTTCTGTTTTTTTTATAGACTTTACAGTCTATGATACAAAGGTTGTTATTTAGAATAAAAGGTTTTCATTTGGAATTTCGAAAAAAAATGTCCCGTATTGCAGGCCAGTCTAACCCCCACTTAGAATATATTCTGGCATAATTAAGCCTAATCCAGAAGTAACCAGCCATGGGGTATAAAACAGATTAGTCTAGATTATACCCCAACCTGGCAAGTTTATACCTACTCTTATTTTTAGTATCACCGACTCTTTTTTACTGTGAATATTATGTGATGTGCCCAGCCTGCAAACTTGTAAAAATCATAACGGTAATTCATTCACCAATAATCAAGTAGTAAGTCTTTAAAGAGTTAATCTTGTTCAGAAAAATGTTCCAATAGTAAGGCCGACTGATCTGTCAAGCAATAAATCGAGTAAAATTGAAGTTTGTATAAAGCACAAAATCTCCGTACCATCCATACTGACTATAGTCTCAGGATGCAAAAATATAGATGTTATTTTTTACTAATGTTCACCTATATCATGGCGTAAGAAGCCAGAAGTTATACTGAACAAAGTGTGTAATATGAAAGTAAGAAATAGGAAGTAGATATTATGAGGATATGGAGTTTAGATAACTATAACGATTTTAATAGGTTAATATTGTATTGTTCGGGGAAGCATCCACATCAGTTACTGATCCAAAAAGTACTGGTTCTCAGAAGAAGCATTTGGGGTTGAACATTATTATTGCCAAAAGAAAACAAGAAAAAGGAAGGAGAGTGATTCAGCCATGTGGACGTAACAAGGTGGGTCTTTGCTGTAAAGAACTGAACTTGGGACACTAAAGTATGTTTCTCGTTTGTATATTTACCATAAAATAACAATAGAGTAACGTTAAGTCATGTGACATTGCGTCTATAAGAATGAGACGGAGGACGCTGCGTAAAAGAATTTGATCTCTGTCAAGACAGGAAGCTGAGGATTGGACAACTCCAATCCAGATATAGCAGCTTTAAAGAAAAGAATAGCAGGAAGAGTCAGGTACTTTCTAGAGCAATTCAAAGAATTGACCATTTTTTTCAAGCCTCTTTGGTAATGGATCATATATACGAGTTCCACTTAGGATCTGGGGTGATGTTACTTTAAACAGACGTTCAAATCAAGAAACATCTTGGAGAGTTCAATCTTTCATGAAGTAAATTTAGTCTGCTGATGAAATATTACCATCTTGGTTTTTTTCCCCTTCAATTTGTTAAGACGAGATCAACTACCAGAATTGGAATAGAAAAGTGTATATTTAAGTACCGGGTTTCTCAACATTTTTTTATTTTATTGTCGCCTTTTCATTATTTTTCATTTTTTACTTATTTTTAAACTTTGTCAGTGATTTGACCTCAGTTTGGAGGTTAACTCTTTGCCCATAGGTGGGAACCAAACAAGTACTACCACCCCGGGTCAGCGTGGACCTAGGAATATCAGCAAATAAGAGGTGGTACCACGCGCCTCAAAAACTAATCAGAGGCCTTTCTGTTGGATGTAGTTTATCGTCTTACCCAGGACGGTCTAGAATTAGAGTTATTTTCATGTTACATTACCCATTCTTACGCTAATAAAACTCCACACAGTAACCCTCTACCATGAGGGGCCCTTGGGCCTTGTATTGGGTGAACATTAGTAAAAAAAAAAAAATTTTAAAAAAAGAATGCTAATCCACATAAATTATTTACTGAAAAATGTTTCTTTATTTTTTTCGAATGGATCGGGATATTTAAGCACTGCCGTTAATAGCGCAAACTAACCTTTTCTGATGCTTGGCAGATGTAAAAATCATGTAGATTGTCTGTGATAACGAAGATAGTCTTTAGTCTCGATTCCTCCAAAGTCTTACATATACGCCGAGACAAGCTCCTAATAGCAAACGACATTATTGTGAAACTAATCCTTAAAAACGGATGTTTACTCTTCGCTTCTAGGACCATTACAACACCCTTGCCGCCGTATACGCGTGTATACAGGCAGCACTCGGATAGCAACAATGGCTACAGCTCGACAACAGTAAAAATGGAAGTTACGCTTAGAAACAATACTACCGCATCTACCATGACCTCTTCTCAATCGGCTACCACGACCGCCACGCCTGACATGTCTTATCTCCACCGTCTCCTTTGGCGAGTCGGATGTCTTCTTGAATTGTACATTATTAATTACACCGAAGATTTAAGGTGGATTACGAAGGCCCCAGGAGGTGTGAGGCGGGCGCAGGAAGACAGTATTCGGCGCGTTTCTGCTGACTTAATGGATTTGCTGGTATCTGCCGGATTTAGGATTACGATTGCATAGCGATATGTCAATAACTTTCTTTGAATTACTCAAATGAACAATATTAATATCACGTTTTCTTTCTGTTGTTTTCTTTAGTTCTTTTTATAAAAGAAATTATATTTATTCGTTTGCAAATTTACAAGCTGTTTTCATTTCTTTTGTGTTTTTGTTTTCTCTGGAGTCAGTGGCTTGCAATAAAAAAACAGTATTTCAAAGGCCTCTAAATCCGAAATTATGGCAAAACTATCTTCCTGTCAGTTTTATTTTAATCATTTCACCCCTAGCAAGGCAATAAAGCCACTAAGGCACAAAGTTTATCCATTTTAACTCAGTGGACGACTGTGTTAAAATTAGTAAGAATACGGTGTCCGGTGAATTAGGTAGCTGTACAATCTTTTCTAGAGCTAGTGTTTAGGTTTCTAATTTAGATACCAGATACAATTTGGGATGCTGATTTTCAAGGTAAGTAAACTCATCACACTTGTTAGGTTGGCGCATCATAATCTTCGTGCGCCTTCACTTCAGGACAAGGTTTTGAATACTGATTTGCAACGCAAGCAAATACTTAGTAAGTTGGCGCCACAGAATCTTCCTAAGCTATCACTTCGGGACCGGATTTTGAATGCTGATTTTCAAGGTAAGAAAACTCATCACATTTTGTGGCGCTACAGAGTCTTCCGAAACTATCTCTTCAAGACCAGATTTTGAATGGTTAGCACGCTCTTCTCTGTTGATACGTTAGTACCTCATAATCACTGTATTTTGCCAATTCAAGATAGGATTATGGAATGTTGATTTTCAAGACAAGCGGACTCTTCGTACCTGGTAATTTGACGCTACAGAATCTTCCTACTCAATCACTTCAAAACAGGATTTTGAATGTTGATTTTCAAGACAAGCGGACTCTTTGTACCTGGTAATTTGACGCTACAGTATCTTCCTACTCAATCACTTCAAGAGAAGATTTTGAATGTTGATTTTCAAGGTACGCTGGTAATTTCTTTTTGTTAGCTTAGCTTGGTAGAGTTAACTTACCTTGCAAATTCTGCTGCTTTGGACAGATTAATATGATTTTTTGTAAATATTTATTTTTATTTTATCAACCATTAACGTCTATTTTTATGTTCTTTCTTTCGTACCTTCGAATTTAATTCTTATTTTCTTTACGGCTTTTTTTTTTCCAGTTTTCCTGCCACTCGATTTCTTTCTTTTATTTGTTCTCTTCTTTTCAATCTGTTCTGGCTTCTTTCCTTCAAGTTTCTTTTTCCTGTAAACCATTTTAACGTCTTTCATCCATCCTTTCCTTCAGTTTCTCATTTGTTCGGGATTTCTGCAACTTTCCTGTTTACTCCCTTTTCTCTCTTCTTTTATTCATTTTCCTGTGATCATTCCTCGGCTTTTTCTCGGTGTTGTTTCAATTCCAGTTGTTTTTTTTTGTTTGTTTTTTCAATATCTTCCTTTCTGCCTAACTCCCTATCTATCTATCTATCTATCTATCTATCTATCTATCTATTATAAATTAACTGATTTAAAATATGGTTTCATCGCTACACAAGAATTACCATGTTTCAAAAACAGAAAACAAAAACTTCAAATTCAATTATATTAAATCAAAATTCCAAAATTCGCTTGAAGATGAACCAGAACTAAAGCTTTTAATTTAATATAACTGAATTTGAAGTTTTTGTTTTCTGATTTTGAAACATTGTAATTCCTTTGTAGCGATGAAACCATATTTTTAAATCAGTTACTTTATAATATTTATGCTATGTAAATTTACATTGAGCACTGTTTTGTAAAAAAATATTAATATGAACACCAGATTACATATCTTACAGTACTTCCTATTTTTTACTATAATATATCTATCTATCTATCTATCTATCTATCTAATTTCTTACCTGCTTTTCTTTCTGTCGACCTGTCCGTCTTCTTTCCTGTCTAGCTGTCTTTTTGCCTTACTTCCTGCCCGTTTTTCTCTTTCTTTTCTTCATGCATGGCTGACTTTTCCCCCTTATCTATCTGCCTTCCTTCCTTCCTCCCTTCTTTCTTGCTTACCTGTCTCTTACTTCTTTCCTTCCCTCTTGTCTGCTTGCCTGTTTATCTTCCTTCCATAATTCTTTTTCTCCGCCTGCCTATTACTGTTTTACTTTCTGTCTGACATTATTCCTTTCTTCATTGTTTTAGTTATTTCTACCATTTTGTATTTCATGCTGCTTACTTTCGTTCTTGTCTTCCTTCTTGCTTGCAGGTTGTCTTTCTTTTTTCACGTCCTTTCTTATTTGTCTCCCTTCTTCCTATCTTTTAAAATCTGGAGATATTCTGTTTTCTTTTCCTTCTTCCTTTTATTATTCATTTATCATATCTCGCTGTTTACTTTTCCTTATGCTTTTCCGATTGTCCTTTTCTTTCTTTGTTTCTTTGTTTGTTTGTTTGTTTGTTTCTTTCTTTCTTTCTTTTTTTCTTTCTTTCTTTGTTAATTCTGCCTCGTATTTTTCTTCTTTTATTCGTCATTTTTACCTGCTGGTATTCTTTCTTTTTCATTCGTTTCGATTTATTTTCCGTTTTGCTTCATCTTATCTTGTTTGCTTTCCATCGACTTTGGCTTTTCAGTCGTTTCTTACCGAGGGATTTCTCATATCTATTCTTTTCTCCCCAAATGTCTTTAATTATTTTCTTTCGTTCGTTCGTTCCTTGCGTCTTTCTTATCAGGTCTCTCTCTCTCTCTCTCTTTCTTTCTTTCTTTCTTTCTTTCTTTCTTTATTTATTTATTTATTTATTTCTTTACACACACACATGAGGTTGGTGCATTTATATAGGCGAGTTATTTGTTAATAAAAATTACTATTTTCTTGACTTTTTGATAAAAATATTTTATTTTCAGGTTATAAAAATGCGTGTCGATAATCATACTAATTTAAAAAATGTTATTGTTGAATTGTTATGTTTCTTTTTTTCATAATACAAATAGTTTAAAAACGCCTGATAATTATGCACCAACCCAATATATATATATATATATATATATATATATAGTCGACTCTCCCGTCGATTTCGACGTATGAGGGTCAAGCAGATCAGTTCCCAGGAAACCGACAGCCCGACAACAGTACATGACATTTGATTATAGTGGTGAAGGTTTCGTGCAGGACCAGCCACACATTTTGAAGGGACGAATACAGAGACCTGGTGCACTAAGTGCCACAAGATTCCCAAACAACCCTCCGCAGGTTTTGAATTCAGAGTTGTCCTTCTCCTAGACCAGTTGCCATCCAAGGCTATAGAACCCAGTCTGTTCTGTTATTTACCCATAGCTGGAGGGAGAAGAAGAGGATTCACACCTTTCCCAAATGTATTAGCACGTAAGTGAATGTAATGGATTCGACTGTAATGGATATATATACTTACTTAGTGCACCAGGTCTCTGTATTCGGCCCTTCAAAAAATGTGGATGGTCCTGCACGAAACCTTCACCACTACAATCAAACCTCATGTGCCGTTGTCGGGCTGTCGATTTCCTGGAAACTGATCTGCTTCACCCTCATACGTCGAATTCGACGGGAGAGTCGACTATATATATATATATATATATATATATATATATAAACACACACACACACACACACACACACACACACATATACATATATATATATATATATATATATATATATATATATATATATATATATATATATATATATATATATATATATATATATATATATTAAAAATTGAGTGCTGGAGTGGCGTTAATAAAATAACACTCGATATATAACAACAGAGGTGTAATTTATATTAATAAAAATATTTTCCTTACCGATACTACAACACTTAGTCTCATGCAAAATGCAATCGTCAGGTGCTGACTGAAATCAATAAATGCCGATTTATTGTGCAAGAAACACCTGCTCATATTAATTCTTTCTCTTTCTTCAAGTCTTCATGCGAAATGTCTCCCTTTCCATAATTAATGATCTCTTTTCTTTTTTATCTTTCTCCCTAACCGTTTCCTTCTTTGTGCCTGTTACTCTTTATCCTTTCTTTCTTTCTTTCTTTCTTTCTTTCGTTCGTTCGTTCGTTTGTTCGTTCGTTCGTTCGTTCGTTTGTTCTTTCTTTCGTGCGTTCTTTTCTTCCTTTATACTAGATTTCTCTTTCTCTTTCACTAATTAATTCATTCTTTCTTCCTTTTGTCCTTACTTTTCATCTTCCTTTTTATTCATCTATCCTTATCTTTTCATTTATCTCATCATCTCGCTCTCTTTCCCCCCCCTAAAACAACCTTTCCTTCTTTTTTCATCTGTGCCTCACTCTCGTTTTGTGTATCTTTCTTTTTTTTCTTCCTTTCTTTTCTTCACCATTAATCTCTTTTTTTCTTTCTTTGTTTTTCTTCTTTCCACATCTTTACATCATCTTTTCTCCATTATTTTCTTGTCTGGTGCCATTATTCTGTGGATTGCTTCAACCATGGATCGAGACGAGGCCAAATATGTAGATAGGTCCTCCTTCTCAATGTCTGACGTTATCTACGCGCGAATTTATCGAAAATATATGCAGATTTTAAACACCATCTGCATATCTCGCCGTTTCACGTAACCCAGCGGGATTTATTTGCATGGCGTCTCCAACATAATCCGTCATATAATCATGGAGTCCTATTCTCGTAAAAGACTGAAACGATTCGCGCGGCTCATGTTGTAAAACTGCTCGCCATTTCCATTTTGAAGCTGTTAACACGAAAGACAGAGGTTCGAACCAACAGCAGAATATGTAATTATTTCCTGTCCTGTTTTCGTAGACATCGCCTCCATTACGTGTCAGGAAAGTTTGAAGATTTTGATAAGCTTATAAGGCAAATTGTTTGCTAAGTTGCATTTCAAGTTTTTATTTTGAGATAATCTCTCTTTCTGCATCACGTTGAAATCACCAAAGTTAAGCAACGGTTAGCCTGGTCAGTATCTAAATAGGTAACCACTTGCGAATACCAGGTGCTAAAGCTTGGATGTGTGAGTGGTGTTATGGTGTAATACAACTCTGAAAGAAAAGAACTTTTTTTTTGTGAAAACTTATGGCCCCACCCCTCAGAGAAACAATCACCTTTTTGGGGCGATATGTCCCCCGTTGAGAATGCCTGTTCTAGCTTCGGAATTGATAATCGGATCGCTGGGTTCCAATTCTCGTTGGGTTCGTTATATTCGTCATCACAATTACGGATCTCTTGACCTCCATATGGTCGTAAGGGTACCATTAGTACCGTAGCTGCAGTAGAACTTGGATCCGATTCCTCAATCCAGTCTGCTGTCACTTGCACCACCGTACTTCGTCGTTATATTCACTTAATGACTTCGGAAAAGTTAAGAATCCACATCTCCTCCAGATATGGGTTAATTAGTAAAACTTTTATCACTAAACCATTCTTATCTCTACAATAATATTTTACAATCTAAAACTATTTTCTGGCTTTAAATAACCTGCAAAGGGTTGATAAGCCGTAAAAAACGAATCAATCTATTAATCAATTCTACATCTGAAAATAAACTCTTGATTCACTTGTTAATTCGGGTTTTATGGTGTGGATCCAGTTATGAAGAATACATTTGTAAGAGTTATTTCAAATTGTATAAGGTACCTTATGAGCAGGTAGATATGGCTTTACCAACACAATTAGCGAAATCAACTTTTGAAATAAAAGTTGGCGGTATATGCATAGGACGGGTGTAATCAACCAGAATGTACCCCCTTTAATAGATTATAACCAGTATTATTGTCTTATTACACCCGAGGTGTAAATGAGGCTAAGCCAATTTCTAGCTAGTTATAAAATGACTTAGGTTTGAACAGGCATTCTCAATGGGGCCATATCGCCCACAAGAAATATAGCACACCTTAAGAGTATATATCTTCATATATATATATATATATATATATATATATATATATATATATATATATATATATTATGCGGCAGGTGTACAAAAGTTATAAATATAATTAAAACTCATTTATTTTATCAATTCAAGAAAAAGAACAAAGCTTTTAACGTAAATTTAATCCATATTTAATACTTGTTGTGGGCTTCTTTTGCTTTTATAATTGCCTTTATTTGATTTGCATACTGGATACCAACTTAGCACAAGTAGTTTACTCGATTATCTGCCATTCCTCATGAAGTTTGTCTTTTAATTCGCGTTTTAAAGAATATTTGTGCACCCTCAGCCTTATACCCAAGCATGACCATGGATGCTCAATGGGAATCAGGTCAGGGGATGGAGGAGGCCACTTTATTACTCTCACTTTTTTCTTTTCAAA